AATAAAATACTGGCAAACTGATTACAAAAGCACATCAAAAAGCTTATCCACCATGATCAAGTAGGCTTCATCCCACGATGCAAGGCTGGTTCAACATAAGCAAGTCTATAAATGTAATTCACCACATAAACAGAACCAAAGACAAAATCCACATGATTATCTCAATTGATTCAGAGAAGGCCTTTGACAAAATTCAACAGCGCTTTATGCTAAAAACCCTCAATAAACCAGGTACTGACGGAACGTTATCTCAAAATAATAAAAGCTATTTATGACAAACCAACAACCAATATCATACTGAATGGGCAAAAACTGGAAGCATTCCCTTTGAAATCTGGCACTAGACAAGGATGCCCTCTCTCTGGAAGTTCTAGCCAGAGCAATCAGACAAGAAAAAGAAATGAAGGGTATTCAAATAGGAAAGGAGGAAGTCAAATTGTCTCTATTTGCAGACGACATGATTGTTTATCTAGAAGACCCCATCATCTCAGCCCAAAATCTCCTGAAACTGATAAGCAACTTCAGCAAAGTCTCAGGATACAAAATTAATTTGCAAAAATCACAGGCATTCCTATACACCAATAACAGACTTAAAGAGAGCCAAATCAAGAACAAACTGCCATTCACAATTGCTACAAAGAGAATAAAATACCTAAGAATACAACCAGCAAAGGAACGTAAAGGACCTGTTCAAGGAGAACTACAAATCACTGCTCAACGAAATAAGAGAGGACACAAACAGATGGAGAAACATTCCATGTTCATGGTTAGGAACAATCAATATTGTGAAAATGGCCATACTGCCCAAAGTAATTTACAGAATCAATGCTATCCCCATCAAGCTACCAATGACTCTCTTCACAGAACTGGAAAAAACCACATTAAACTTCATACGGAACCAAAAGAGAGCCCCCATAGCCAAGTCAATTCTAAGCAAAAAGAACAAAGCAGGAGGCGTCACACTACCGGACTTCATACTGCACTACAAGGCTACAGTAATGAAAACAGCATGGCACTGGTACCAAAACAGAGATACAGACCAATGGAACAGAACAGAGACCTCGGAGGCAACACAACATATCTACAAGCATCCAATCTTTGACAAACCTGAGAAAAACAAGCAATGGGGAAAGGAGTCCCTGTTTAATAAATGGTGTTGGGAAAACTGGCTAGCCATGTGCAGAAAGCAGAAACTGGACCCCTTCCTGACACCTCACACTAAAATTAACTCCAGATGGATTAAAGACTTAAACATCAGACCTAACACCATAAAAACCCTAGAAGAAAATCTAGCCAAACCATTCAGGACATAGGCAAAGGCAAGGACTTCATGACCAAAACACCAAAAGCATTGGCAACAAAAGCGAAAATAAACAAATGGGACCTAATCAAACTCCGCAGCTTCTGCACAGAAAAAGAAACAGTCATTAGAGTGAATCAGCAACCAACAGGATGGAAAAAAATTTTTGCAATCTACCCATCTGACAAAGGGCTGATATCCAGAATCTACAAAGAACTAAAACGGATATACAAGAAAAAAACAAACGAGCCCATTCAAAAGTGGATGAAGGATAATGAACAGACACTTTACAAAAGAAGACATACATGAGGCCAACAAACATGAAAAAATGCTCATCATCACTGGTCATTAGAGAAACGCAAATCAAAACTACACTGAGATACCATCTCATGCCAGTTAGAATGGCAACCATTAAAAAATCTGGAGACAACAGATGCTGGAGAGGATGTGGAGAAATAGGAACACTTCTACACTGTTGGTGGGAATGTAAATTAGCTCAACCATTGTGGAAGACAGTGTGGCGATTCCTCAAGGACCTAGAAATGGAAATTCCATTTGACCCAGCAATCCCATTACTGGGTATATATCCAAAGGAATATAAATCGTTCTACTATAAAGACACATGCACAAGAATGTTCACTGTAGCACTGTTTACAACAGCAAAGACCTGGAACCAACCCAAATGTCCATCGATGATAGACTGGACAGGGAAAATGTGGCACATACACATCACAGAATATTATGCAGCCATCAAAAATGATGAGTTCATGTCCTTTGTAGGGGCATGGATGAACCTGGAAACCATCATTCTCAGCAAACTGACCCAAGAACAGAAAATCAAACACTGCATGTTCTCTCTCATAGGCCGGTGTTGAACAATGAGAACACATGGGCACTGGGAGGGGAGCATCACACACTGGGGTCTGTCGGGGGGGAAAAAAAGGGAGGGGCAGCAGGGAGTGGGGAGTTGAGGAGAGACAGCATGGGGAGAAATGCCAGATATAGATGACGGGGAAGGAAGGCAGCAAACCACACTGCCATGTGGGTCCCTAAGCAACAATCTTGCATGTTCTTCACATGTACCCCAAAACCTAAAATGCAATAAAAAATAATAATAAAGAAAGAAACAAACAAACAAAAACAGCCAGGCACAGTGGCTTACACCCGTAATTCCAGCACTTTGGGAGGCTGAGGTGGGTAGATCACCTGAGGTCAGGAGTTTAAGACCAGCCTGGCCAACATGGTAAAACCCCGTTTCTACTAATACCAAAAATTAGCTGGGCATGGTGGTGGACGCCTGTAATCCCAGCTACTCAGGAGGCTGAGGCAGGAGAATCGCTTCAACCTGGGAGGTGGAAGTTGCGGTGAGCTGAGGTTGTGGTGAGCCAAGACGGTGCCACTGCACTCCAGCCTGGGCGACAAGAGTGAAACTCTGTCTCACAAAAATAAAAACAAAATAAAAACTAGGGAAATGCAGGGAAGAAGAAAATTCTTACCCACCTGGCCAAGCCCTTCCTTGCTCTCAGAGAAGGAGGACTCAGACAGACACATCTGAGGGTAGCTCCAAAGGCCAGATCCAGAGCACTCAGCTCATAGTGAGAACCCTCCTAAGCCAGGGCACAGCTGACCACGCTACACAGTCCACCAGCAGACACAGACACGAGACAAAAGGACAACAGCACTGAAGAAAAGGGCTTTCGGCTTTTCCCCCTTTCTTACTTGCATCCTGTTAGGCAGAAAATAAAGACTATCCTTTGGATGAAGTGGTGTCAATATGGGAGGACATCCATGCACACAGGACACAGGCATCACCATGGGAATAAGTTAAAAGCTGGCACCATCATGGCCTTCTTGAACTAAGTCTCTGCTTTCCTGTTTCCTTGAGCATTTTACTGCCAGAGCCAATGAAACGTTTAGCATTCAAACCTGCAAGAATACTTTCAAAACTCTTTACTGCTTCCATTTCCACTAAACTGAAAAACCAGAGAAAAAAATACCGGGGTATTCTTGATCTTTTGTTCCCCAAACTCAAAATGCTACAAAGAACTTAACCCAGTAATTACCCTTGAGGAGTTAATCACCAAGATAGTACCAAACTTCTAAACTGCAGCATAAACATCTTAATTAACAAAATATTAGAGGAGGAAAAAGGAAAGTCCAGTTTCCTGCTACATCTCTATAAAGAGATGTTTGAGGGGCACAGTGTATTAGCTCAAACTAGTGCTCCCCTGGAATTTCACAATTTTTTGGGGTTGGGGGGGTGGGCGGCAGACAGGGTCTTGCTCTGTCAACTGAGGCTGGAGTGCAGTAGTGTGATCTCAGCTTGTTGTAAGCTCCACCTCCCAGGCTCAAGCGATCTTCCCAACTTAGTCTCCCAAGCAGCTGGGACGACAGGCATGCACCACCAAGCCTGGCTAATGCTTTGTATTTCTGGTAGAGACCAGGTTTCGCCATGTTGCCCAGGCTGGTCTCCAACTCCTGACCTCAGACAATGCACCTGTCTCATCTACCAAAGTGCTGGGATTACAGGTGTGAGCCACTGGGCCCAGCCCAATTTCACGAGTCTTCTAAGTTTGGACAATACGTCACATGGTCTAACTGGAATTTATTTCATTCAACATGTCTAATTACTTCCAAACAATGGTATCATATATTTATGATAAATACATTTATCTGTTAGCTAAAAGTTGCCTCATGAAGTAGCAAATGATGGAGATGAAAGGCTGACTGACGCCCACTGTGAAATGTAGTTCACCGACACCGACCTGCACTTCACTGCAAAACAAAAACTGCAAACACATACAAAGGTATTCTAGCTCAGCGGAGGTGGGTTTGCCATTTGTGGCTTAAATTCGCTGCAGTGAAGGGTATTACTGAACGTACATCTGGACCACCATCTTAAGTAAGTAGACATGCCACAGAAATGGGTACTGATAAATACATTTCACTGTAAAAGACAGATCAGCATTATAAACAATAAGCTCAGTAGAGCTGCCAGCAGATGAATAACAGTAAATATTTTTCTAAATATCAAAATTGCCAATAAGTCAGGAACTCTGATGACAAAGCCTGATTTGAACAGTTCATACAATGGGATGATACTACAATCAGCTCAATCTCAGGCTTTCAACATACATTCCAATGGCCAAACGATTACCAAAAGGTAAAGTTCCACAACTCAACCAGTGCACATATATTATCTTACCCCAAAAAACCTATTTTATTAAAATAAGTTTCATGTTTCAACATGGCTTCTATTCTTTTTTTTAAGCGATATGATCTTGCTCCAATGCCAGGCTACAGTGCAGTGGCTCAATCACAGCTCACTGCAGCGTCGAACTCCTGGGCTCAAGCAATCTTCCCACCTCACCCTCCCAAGTATAGCTGGGACAATAGGCACATGCCACTGCCGCCACCACCACCGCCGCCACCACTACCACTACTGCCACCACCACCACTGCCACCACTACCATGTCCCCAGCTAATTGATTCTATTCTATGAAAACAATCCTTACTGGATCATGTGTCTGGCCGCACAGGCATGCGCGCGCGCACACGCGCGCACACACACACACACACACACACACACACACACACGTCCACTTCACTGCGTTCCGCACCCTAAAATCAAGGGCATCTTATCAAGCACTCACGCCTACAGACTCATCACTGAAACACCATAATTTAAATGATACTCTACTTGTCCACTCGTATCTGCAGCCTGCTGGAAATGTGTAGCCAGCGACGTCTCGTCCTGGAAGACTTCGTTACACTCCAAACATTTTAGACTATGTCTACACAGTTTGGAGGGGTCTTCATCTAGGGGCATGGCTGGCGTGATGGGAGTGCTTGACGGAGCCGATATGACTGTCCCAGTTATGCCAGACTGAATTTTTGTGACAGTGTGTGTGCCAGCTCCCACAGGGCTTTGAAGAGTAGAAGACGAAGTGGATGTATTGCTTGACGGAGAAACTATCATTTGATCTGCTGGGACTGGCTTTAAAATTAAGTGGGAGCATTGCATTACCACCCCTTTCTCCTTATGCCCGCGGGCATGGGAAAGGAGGCTGCATTTGTTGTAAAAAACGAGGTTCTTTGTACAATGGTTGCACGTTACTTCGATGCGCACGCTCCGTCTGTCGTAGTGCTGGGTCAGACTCTTTTCAAGCGCAAAGGAGTCGCCACACTCCAAGCACTTGTACCCACGCGTCGGTAACGTGATCCCTGCATTGGCGGGAGGACTGAGGTTTGGGATGTAAACAGGGACTGGATTGACACTGCTCAGCACCTTGTTGAAAGCTTCCACCACAGAACTCTGCAAGGACGACACCACCTGCACTCGAGACACCTTTTTAGGGGGTTGTGAGGCTGCTGCATTGATTATTGCCTGCTTTATTTGTTGCTGAGGTTTGGTTAGCACTTGGCGGAGTTCAGAGGTGGCCTGGGCACCCTGAGGCAGAAGGTTAAGGTTGGCAAGGTGCACAGTCTTTGGCACGAGTTTGGCGTTGGCCAGGCTGGATGCCGGCACCACGACAGTTTGCTGCTGGATGGCATTGGCGGCTTTAATGATGGCGCTGCTGGCGCTCTGGACAGAGGCAGCAGATATGACCGTGGCTTTCACCGTGGTGTTGTTAGCAAGCTTTAAATTAATGACTTGGGATCCTGCCGTCTTCACGGCAGACACCGGGAGGAAAGCAGTGGCCACAGGCTTGATCGTGACCTGTTTGGGGGTGAGCTCCGCAGGGGAAACTGCGTTGGTCACGACTGCCGACTGGAGAGGCGCTCGGGGGGGAGAGGAAAGGACAGCGGCTGACGCTGGAGATGACAGAAGGGATGTCACAGAGGCCATCACGGACGCCGTCTGCTCAGAAGGCTTCTTCCCAGAGTCCAGATCCACTTCCGGCAATACCCTGGTCACCGTTCTCTTGATCTCCCCAGAAGACGTCTTAATGGTTTTTATGCGGACTTTGGGGATTGCTGGTGTGGACCCCGCAGGAGAGGACGGGGACCCCTTGCTGCTGTTCTCACTGGAGATGCTTCTGGGACTATCGGGTTGCTTTAGGGATGGTTTTTTGGTCCCGTCGATGAGATTCTGGGATTCGGGAGACTTGTCGGCGGCTCTCGGACTGTCGTTTACTTCTTTTGGTAATGGGGAAGACTCCCTCGAATTGGCCACTGGTTCTTTGCAGGAGTCTGAAGCCGCCTTTTTAGCGCTGAGAGCCGCGATGGCAGCGATGCAGGACGAGAGCTTGGAGGACGACTTTGTCTTTGACGGCGCAATGCCGGGCAGGCCACTGTCGTTCTTCTCGGAGCTCGGCTTCCCGTCCAGGACTCTGTTTTCCGGCACCTTGTCAGAGTTCTCCTTCAATTTATCCTCTGCTTTTCGAACTTTAAAAGGTTCATAAACATTCAGGTTTATAGAACTGGCTTCTGCCTCTCTCTTAACAACTTTGTTTTTCTCCACATTGCCTGACGTAGAGAGTCCAGTCTTGCTGGCGTTCTCCCCGCCAAGTGCCTTCAGCTTATCGAAGTCCTGCTGGGGAGCCGACCCCGCCAACACGTTCGATCTGAAGCCTGACCGCACATCCTCCTTGTCAGGGGGGTCGTCCACCTCGATCTTCTCGTCGTCATCAAACTCTTCAGCGCTGGAGATCGGACTAAACTGGCTGAACGTCGAGTCCTTCAGAGTCACCTCAGAGGCAGGCACGTCTCCTTTCAAGGTCTTCGCCCCATCTTTACTGTAACTGTCGAGGGAGGACCCTGTGAGAAACCCGTTATGAAGGCCATTGCCGGTGGGATTGTGGCCGTCCTTCTCCCCGCCCTCGGAGGAGTCGATGTTCCGAACGTTCTTGACGATAACACTGACGCCCACATCAGAAGACGACGGCGCGTGGGAGTCGTCCTCTCCGTGAGCGTTCTGCTTCATGTGGCTTTCGTGGTCATCGTGTCCAGACTCAATAGCTGCTTTAGGATCGACCATATCCGGGATGTCAAATGCTGCCAGGAGGTCATCAAAGTCTGGGGTCTTCATATCCCCCATGGTCATGAATTTGAGCAGATGTTCTGTTAAATGAGCAGAAAATAGTTCCATCAGTAATTGGTATTTCCTCACGATGAGATAAAACCCCTAGACACTTCGCACTAACATAATGATGATTTCCAAGAAAGAGCATGGTGGTAACTGCATTTACAATGACTAGGAAACCCTGAGTCCAAGTGAACGAACATCGAGAAAATGTAAGACCTATATAATTTTAGCTTCAAAAGTAATCCCTCCATACTGTAGTACAGTATTACCAGCACGGCTCCCAGCTAACAAGAATGAAGTTGATTGAACCTGCTATAGTCTAGAAAAACAGGTTCTGGTGTGGCAACTAGAAAATGTGTCAATTTCATAAAAAGCTACTTCCAAGCATATTTTGATCTTGACACTATTTAATCCTGCTGGCAAAATGATCACTATCATAGTCACCATCAGATTTGGGATACCGTATTAAAAGAAACATGCCACAATCAAAAAAGCCAATTACAGATTTCAATATTCACCTACAGAAAAAAGAAACGAGCATCCACACCCACCACAGGGTATCTGCTCATAACTTCCACTTGGGACTTATTTAAAAAAAAAAAAAAAAAAAAAAAAAAAAACCTAAAGAGCTGATTCCATCCATTTTTATTTAACCCTAACTTTCCCTATTAGGTTTTTTAAAAAAGAAACACTCTCAGATAGAAGGCAGAGTCATAGAAAAATGGGATAGGCACAGCCATGACTAAGCATGAAGGCTATACGAATACACACAGTGCCTGAGGGTCTTTAAAAGGGGCCCTTCCCCCCATCTGCAGAGAACAAGTGATTGTGGGGCAGATAAAGCCTCCGCTGTAGGGGACAAGTTCTGCTCCCTGGACCCCCGAGCCCCCATTCCTGGACTCTACTGTTTCCTGGTCTCTACTCCAGTGTGTACGTACACTGGTCTCCTCTTACAGGCTGACCCGTAAGCCACCTGAAGACAGGGAAAGTGTCACTCACCTTTCTAGCATAAATGTCAAATAACTAACGCAACACCAAGTCAGGCACTAGATTTAGAACAGAAAACCAGGACTGGACCCAGCTCTGTCACCCGCTAGCTCTGGGGCCCCCAGGGAATGAGGGGATCTCTTGGATCTGTTCCTTCTGCAGTGGAGGCAAATAGCCAGGGAGCGAAGGAAAGCAAAGAGGGGAGAGGGGAGAGGGGAGAGGGGAGAGCAAGAGAAGAGAAAGCGGAATCGAGAACGCAGCGGTCAGTCAGAAGGGCAGAGGGTAGCAGCTGACTCCAGGCGACTCTTGGCGGAAGAATTCGCCTAGCCCATTTACAGACGCATGTCCCTAGACAGACTCTGCTCTTCGGTATTTACTGTGTTATTACCCTTCCTTCAAATCTGCTTTACTGGTCCCTGACACGGGGTTTCCTTCCACATTTTACTGCAACACTTAAATGATTTTTTTTCTTGTACAATCTATAAAAGATCACACATTCCTAATAAAAGTAACTATTCCAGGGTCAAGGGAGAATTTCTACTCAGTGAGAATATACATGCCTGAAAAAAACTCATATAAACCACAAATCCATCAACAGCTGCTAAGACCCTCGGCGTATTAACTCACTCTGGGGACACATCCGAATACTGAAGAATCTGGTTAGGAAAAACTACCGGTGAAGACGAAATCAACACTTAGGGTTTGAGGGAGATGAAGAATGAATCTGCTTCTATTCACACCTGTCTCGGTTAGTACCAAGCTGAAGAAGTCACACATGCTTTTCCTTCGATGGTTTACTTGGCCTCGAGAAAACTCTGGGTGACCACACTTCTCTCAGAGGGGCGCTTGCGGGCACAGACAGGGAGTAACACACCCCCAGTGCCAAACTGCCACCCACGCAAAAAGTACACAGGAAATAAAACGATGACACCGAAAGGGTCACTGATGCACAAGTATCTATGGGAAGTCAGACCCAGTAGGAAAGTTTGTGATGATGATTTTGTTTTTTAAATGAAATTGAACATTTAAACTGCGAAATGTGGGGAATGAAAAAGCCATCTGTCAGGCACTATATCCAAGTAAAAATCCACCCACTTACAAATAATCCCTGAACGTCACCACTCGTTTCCATCCATCATCCTGGTGTTGGAAAGGGAATTCTCACAACAAAGCTGCCATCAGCAGAGCGGCCCTGTGATCTGTCCTCACCAGCCGTGTTGATCTAAAGTTGGAGGTCACTGCTAATAGAAAACTCAAGATACCGCCCCCTGCCCCACCAGGGTTGAAAGGGCCTAAAAAGTGGATTTTAACTTATGCAAAGCCTGACTACAGGCTCTCGAAGTCCCCATGGTGGCAGGGCTCTGCCCCAGTCCCTCTACCCTTTCTTTAGAGCTCCACAGGATCTGTGTCATTTGCCCTCTCTTTACGGTTTTGGTGAGCAAAAGACTTCAGACTGTTTCACACTGTTCATCCCAGAGGGCAGTCGGTTCAGGAACAAAGAGCAGGTAAGACATAATTCAAATACTCAGTGGGTGGGAGGCCCAGAACATACAACCACAAGAATGAGGAAAGGTCACCACGTGAAACAAAACTGGATGGTCAGCAGTGCGACCGTCTGCTATTCTTATGAACCCTGGGAGGGTTAATATGGCTCTTCTCACCTTTTTCTGCTGTTATACATACAGGGAGCTCCTGATTTATAAACACGTGCACGGCGGCCGTACTGAATCACTGAGTCAAGGCTAGCTTGCTGCCCTCCACACCACCCCTATGTTTTCCCACCTGCCCAGCTAAAGCAGAGATAAGGTCTAAAAGGCCCCAGAGAGGAACTCCCACGTCTGCAAACCCCTCAAAGGGGTTCAGAAGCAACTCTCTCTCCACAGCGATCCAGCCGCACCCTGTCCCCATCCCTCTACTCCACCTAAGGTTTGTACTCTTCTCTTGGGGGCTGTGGAGAAGCCAGCGTGAAGCAGTGGGATGTGGCGAAGAGGTCAGAGTGAGCTGACGGTAGTTTAAAAAGGGAGTCAGCCATCCTAGTTCACCTGCAGGAAGCCCGCCGTTAAGCTGAAAATGCATAAAGGGCGATTTTTAAAGCCTGAGTGCGGCAGCCATGAAAGTGCATCGTGTTGTCTGAAATCCGAGATCACTGTGGCAGGTAGACTCCCCTCTCCAGGGTTGTATAACTAATGGAATGGATATCGCTCTCTGTAACTTCACACTTCTTTTTTGGCTTATAGGAATGTTTTTCATACCCACAGTCACACTGTCCTATTACCCTTTCCCTTCCCACATTCTGGAAGGCAAGAGCAAGTGAGCCACGTGGAGGCGAAAAAATGTCTAACTCCCACTTCGTTTCTCAGTTATACTGAATACAAAGAGGAATGTTTATGCCTGAAAGTTTTCTTCATTTTCCACCCCAATTCCTAAGTACTACTGTCTTAAAAATAGATTCCTTTGCTTAAAAACATTACAAAAATAAATTTCAGTCCTCTCTTTTCAAAGATAAAATAGAATGATCTCATTTTAGCTTCCCTTTCCCTCAACAGTTTGAATTTCAAACAGAATTAGCTTTAGTTATTTTAACAATGTCTTTCACTTATGCCCTATAAAATACATCTCCCTTCAAAGCCAATAATGGTCTTTTAGTTTATTTATTAATTTTTTTTCCAAGACAGAGTCTTGCTCTGTCACCCAGGCCGGAGTGCAGAGGCGCGATCTTGGCTCACTGCAACCTCTGCCTCTCGGGTTCAGGCGATTCTCCTGCCTCAGTCTCCCGAACAGCTGGGATCACAGGCGCACCCCACTGTGCACGGCTAATTTTTTTTATTTTTAGTAGACACGGAGTTTCATCATGTTGGCCAGGCTGGTCTCGAACTCCTGACCTCATGATCCGACCACCTCGGTCTCCCAAAGTGCTGGGATTACAGGCGTGAGCCACCAAGTCCAGCCAATGGTCTTTTAATTTAAAAGTAAACCCAGGCCGGGCGCGGTGGCTCAAGCCTGTAATCCCAGCACTTTGGGAGGCCAAGGCGGGTGGATCACAAGGTCAAGAGATCGAGACCATCCTGGTCAACATGATGAAACCCTGTCTCTACTAAAAATGCAAAACATTAGCTGGGCATGGTGGCGTGTGCCTGTAATTCCAGCTACTCAGGAGGCTGAGGCAGGAGAATTGCCTGAACCCAGGAAGCAGAGGTTACGGTGAGCCAAGATCGTGCCATTGCACTCCAGCCTGGGTAACAAGAGTAAAACTCCGTCTTAAAAAAAAAAAAAAAAACAACAATAAAAGTAAACCCTACATAAATGACCTAGAATTCACTAATAGCATTTGTGTTTAATGTGTAATGTGCTTTCACCCAAAGACATCAACAATATCCGAGGGGGAAAAATGCTAGACCTGTTGACCTGTTTACAAAAAAGGAAACTGAAAGAACTCAGGTCTGTCACATGATCACTTTATTTTCTCCTATGACACAGAGATAAAACATTTCCTTTCCTACTCAAAGCCTCTTAGAAGTATAAAAAGCTATTTCATCTTTGTTGGCAGAAGACAAAAGTTATGAAGTCAAAAGAAAAACTTAAGAAAAACCTATTTACCCCTTACTCATACTTTTTGTACTTTGTAAAAAAAAAAAAAAAAATTCTTTCTTTGCAATGAAAAAATTGTTGGTTTCCCAATTTCCAACTAGAGAATGTCAATATTAAAGGCACAGGTACAACCTAACCACTGAATCCCAATTTTCAATAATTCCTAAACAGAAAGATGCCCAAATCCAGCCAAGGTCTGCCTCATGTGACCTGTGAAAACGCTGGTTCCCTATTTAACAGGGAAACTAACATTTCCCCTAATGAAAATCAACACTCTATATCGTAACAGCCCTACTTAGAGAAAAACAAATCAAAGTCCACTGGCCATCCTCACAGTATTATAAAGGCTTCCCGTAAAACAACTGTAATAATACAAGGTCTGCTTTAGGATTCCCAGTCCCTAATTTTCCAGCATTATCTCGTCAATGAGGCCCTTCAATGTGTCTTTTTTAAATTCAAT